AGTAAGAGGTAATTATTTGAATAGAACAAGGGGATACTGTATAGTTTAAAATCAGGATTGTCCTTTCACCAGAGTTATTCAATCGATATGCTGAGCATATAATCTAAGGAATTGGATTATAAGAAGAATGTGAATGGCATTAGGGCTGGAGGAAAGCTCGTTAACAACTTGTGATATGCAGATGATACAACCTTGTTTGCGGAAAGCAAAGAGGAATACTCACTAATGAAGTATCGATTGCACCTCAATATAAAGATAAAAAAAAGAAAATCCTCACAGCTGGACCAGTAAATAAAATTATAATTGGAGAAAATACTGACATTCTCAAATAATTCATCTTGCTTGGATCTACAATCAACACTTATGGAAGACATAGTCGAGAAATCAAAAGACATACTGCATTACGCAAAACTGCTACAAAAGAGCAGTTTTTAAAGAGCAAAGATGTCACTTTAAGGACTAAGATGTGCCTGACCCAAGACATGGTATTTTCAATTGCTTGATATATATGTGAAAGTTGGACAATGAAAAAGAAAGACTGTAGAAGAATTGATGCACTTGCATTATGGTGTTAGCAGAAAATATTGAAAATACCATGAACCGCCAGAAGAGCAAACAAATCTGTCTTAGAAGAAGTACAGCCAGAATGCTTCTTAGAAGCGAGGAGGGTGAGACTTTATATTTTGGACACATAATCAGGCAGGATCAATCCTTGAAGAAGGACATCATTCTTGGTGAAGTAGAAGGCTGGCTAAAAGAGGAAAATCTCCAATAAGATGGACTGACATAGTGGTAGCAACAATGGGCTCAAATATAACAATTGTGAGGATCATGCAGGATTGAGCAGTGTTTCTTTCTGTTGTGTATAGATAGGGTCACTATGAGTCAGAACCAACTGGAAAACACCTAACAACACAACAACAACAATCTATCTGATGACTGTTCATTATCAGTGGTTATCTTTCCACTGGTCTGCACAGTAAGTGCGATTTATTTTTTATTTTGCTCATTGGTGTTGATCCAAATTCTAACTCATGACGAACTCTTGTATATTGAGTTGAACTGTGCTCCACAGGTTTTCAAGTCTGTGACTGTTCGGAAGTAGATTATCAGACCTATCTTCTCAGGCCCCCCTGGGTAGGTTTGAACCACCAACCTTTTGGCAAGTAGTTGAACACATAATTGTTCAAACCACCCAGGTACTCCTTGAATTAAGATACATTTGATGATGTGTAAAACAAGGACAGGCTTGTTGTTGAGTGAGAAAATAATGTCTTAAGAGTACTGCATTGCATTGTTATTGAGTAGAAATGTTGAAGACTTTTAATAGTAAATGTGGAAGAGGGTGGTAAAAGGGAATCTTTAAATTCCATGGAAGCAACATGGTCTTAAATTAGTTATCAAGGTTGGAAAGGGAAAGACTAAACACAGGCTAAAAAGAGTAAGAAGAGAAACTTTAATTTAGTGTATTTCGAAACTAAGGTCCGTGATCTACTGGCCACAAAGTCTCTTGAGTGACTAGGAAAATACAGACTTCCAGAATCCAACCAAGGAATATTGAGTCCAAGGACAATCTCTGGGTACAAAGCCCCAAAACCTGTATGATTGTGAAATATCCTGTGTTATACTTCTTGTTGTAAAGTGCTGTAAAGTAAGTTCCGACTCATAGTGATCCTATAGGACTTCCAAGGAGCGGCTGGTGGGTTTGAACCGCTGACCTTACAGCCCAAACTGACCTTGCAGTCCAGCGCATTATCTTGCAGCACCACAAGCCCTTTGAAATTTGAGAACCACAGCTCTTCTCCATTTCCCACAAACTCCTGCTTTACTCTTCTGAAATTATTCTTTTCATTCCATTTATATAAGACAGAGGAAATATTCAGAGAAGAAAATTATGAAAAGAGTAGAAATTAAATTTAGTGGGAATAGGTAGTAAGATCCAGAGAAAAGAAAATCACCTCTGAAAATAGCGACTCTTGCCACTTGTTTGTTGAGTAGTCTTAGTTACTTAATCTCTGCTCATCTCAATGTATGCATTAACATTGTTGTTGTTGTTAGGTGTCCTACTCTTAGCGACCCCATGCGCAACATAAGCAAACACAGCCCGGTATTGCACCATTCTCACAACTGTTGTTAAGCTTGAGCTCATTGCTGCTGCCACTGTGCCAGTCCATCTTATTAGGGGTCTTCCTCCTGTTCACTGATCCTCTGCTTTACCAACATGATGTACTTCTCCAGGGATTGGTCCCTTCTGACATTATGTCCAAAGTATGGAGAGACAAAATCTCAATGCATTAATAAAAGGAGAATATTGTTAACCTTTACTAAGGAACTCTGATAGCGTAGTGGTTACGAATCGGGCTGCGAACCTTAAGGTCAGCGGTTCGAAACTACCAGTCGCTCCGCGGGAGAAAGATGAGGCTTTCTGCTCCCGTAAAGATTTACAGCCTCGGAAACCCTGTACAGGGTCGCTATGAGTTGGAACTGACTCCACGGCACATAACAACAACAACAACAACAACAACAACAACGTAGAGTTGTTATTAAAATTAAATGGAATAGATCCTGGCATATTGCCAGTACTCAAAACACTCCCTTGATGGTTAGTTCTCTTAGCCTTTTATTCTGGAAATAAAGTATGATGGAAAGGGATGACCAGTTGAGGTTAGATAAGGATTCAAGTCTCAGGTCTGCTACTTCTTGGCTGCATTACCTGTAACAACCAGTTAAAGGCTCAGAGCCTGTTTTGTGTTAGGTAAGATGGAAAAATAATAGTTCCTTCTATCCTATAATGACATGAATTTCTTCTCATAAAGGGTAAGTCAAGATCTTCCAAAGAAGCAACATCCTCTGATCTATAGAACAAAAAGAAGTTGTCACAGTAGGTAACAGGTGTTGGAAATCCTGATTCTCACAGGGGGTGGTATTGACTTCCTATTGAAGGACACAAAGAAAGCCATATGCAAGGCTGACATGGCTAATTGGGAGGTGTGTGGTCCTCTTGGAGCCTTTTCCTGAGATGTGACAGAATGCTTGCCAAGACTAATCAAACCCAACTGCTACCCACTTCTGCTGAATCATATGGGGCTGCTTTCAGCCTCTGAAGGAACCTGGGATTTCTCTCTCATGACGTTGAAGCCCTAGATAGGAAATGGAAGGTCTGGGAACACAGGTGGTGTTTTCATTTCTCCCTGCATTTGAAGGTTGTATCTACAGAAAGGAGGGAGGAAGGGAGATGGAAGTAAATGGTGTTAGGCAACAGGATTTGTCTTTTCTAGATCAACATCTTGCTTCTGGGCCAAATACAGAACACAGGTTATGTTATTTTACTGGACCAGAGATTTTTCTGACTCAATTAAAGAGAACTAAAGCTGAATTTTTTTTAATATGAAAAGAATAGGGGTAGTAAACAGCAACTATGACATAGATGAAAGAACTAGCAAGTTTGTGAAAAAAAACAATAGGGAAGAAGATCAGGAATTAGACTTATGTCCTCAAATTTTCACACAAAATTTAAATTAATATGAATAATTGATAACAAATTAACATTTAAACATGGCTGTAAATGTGAATTCATAAGAATCACTGAAGTCTTATGGGATAGAAGGTTCATGACTACACCACAGTTTTGAGAGGAGAACGAGTTAAGAAAAAAAAAAAGATGGTTCAATAGACATATTTAAAAAGCATGAGAGCATGAATTATTAATCAATATGAAAGATAAGAAGAAATGAATATAAATATTTGCATTTAAGTTAAACGAACCTGCACAAATTTAGACTAGGCTTAAAACATTTTCAAATCAACAGGAGTTCAGGCATTTTAGTGTAGCAAACTCCAATTGAATGCATGGATGCCAGTTCTGCAGTTAAAGTTAAATCCAGTCCCGGACTGAGTACCATAGCTCATGTCTCCTGCACTCTGCACAGGATCAGACCCTGCCTCTGGTTGTTTGCCCAACTCTGGAAACCATAGAGTCAGTGACCCTTAGATAAAGCTCTGAAAGTTTGTGAGTACTCAGGATGGTGAAAAGTATGGAAACCATGTAGTATGAAGAAGAGTGGAAGCAACTGAGGACATTTTTTCTGAAGAGCAAACAAAACAGAAAAATAACTTAAAAGCCACATGATTCTGGCTCCTCTTTGTTAAGGGCTGTCATGAGAATTAAGATTGACTTTGTATAGTCACAAAGGAAAAATCTATAATCAATGGGTAGGAATTCCAGGGCAACAGATTTCGATGAATGAATGTAGAGATTTTAACGGTGTTAGTTGATCAGAGAATGAATTCTGTCTTTCTTTTCATACCAAACCATATTCTGGATAAAGAGGACATTACTGCCTTTGATTGACACATTAATAGACAAAATCAAACCAAACCTATTGCTGTCAAGTCAGTTCTAACACACAGTGACCCTATAGGACAGAATAGAGTGGTCCCCACGTAGTTTCCACATCTTTAAATCTTCCTAGAAGCAGACTGTCACATTCAGTTAACAGCTCAAAGTTTTAACCACTGTGCCACCAAGTCTCCTGACAGACAAATGGACTTTAAATGATAATATGTTAATATCTGATTACAGATTCTAGTGATCTTTGGGGAACACTTAGGTTCACATATAATAATAACAACAGATTTGTAGTTAATCTTAAGGAATATCTGGGTAAACACACTCAGTCTATATATTCCATTTTAAAGGCTGATAACTTACAAATGCAAGAAGTAGAAATAAAATGAATGACTTATATTGACATAGTTGTTGTTGTGTGTCATCACATCAATTCCATCTAGAGGCAGCTCTTAGGCCCTGAAAGGTTTCCTAATCTAAAATCTTTATAGGAACAGATCTCTAGGTCATTTTTCTCACAGAGCAGCTGGTTAAACAGCACTGAGCCACCAGGGCTCCTTTACATTGGCATTACTCCTAATTAAATTCTACAAAGTTTCTGATTAATAAAATGAAAGTGAACAAAGAAAGTTATATCATGATCTTTTAATACCTTGTTGACAAGGACCATAACTTTTCCAAGTTCCGATGCTTTTTTCTTCTTGTCCAGGTGGTCCTTGGCAATGTACACAGCCACTCTGGTTTTCCCACTCCCTGTAGGAAGGCATATGATGATATTCTTCCCTTCTAAGGCTGGCTTAGCAACTTCCATTTGGTAAGACCTGAGATGTAGTTCTGGTTCAGGGGATGATCTTTTTGTTTCATTCTCTTCATCTGATTAAGGTTAAAAAGAAGAAAAATGAGAGACGGGAAACAAAACAAGATTAGGAAGCCTGAAACAGAATATAGGTTTCTTGTGGTTTAAATGCTTTTTCAACTGTAACCCAAACCAAGCCATGTTCAATTTTCTCTATCAAATGGGCATGAGCTCTTTGCTTGTATTAGCAGAAGTTAGCATGAAAGTGGCAGTGATGATGGAGGATTAGTAGAGGGGGATTAGTAGGAAGGGTAGAGGGAAGCATAGGGGTCTCCTCACAGAGTGAGCAAAGTTAAATTATAAAAAAGGTCGTTCAGGTTTGGTAGTTATGGTTCTTAATGAGTCAGAGTTTTCATTTCTCTGTTGAACCATTATGCCCTACTTTTTCTTCTCAGTTATTCTACGTAAAATTCAAAAGGAATTGGAAAAGGAGGAATAGTCTGCCTTGCCCTGTATTTTCTCTATTTCGCATTCAAAGGTATCAGAGTATATTACTCTGGTACACTGATTTCTTTCAATTTAAAAAATTTATTTGAAAACCAAATATCAAAAAGTGTTATATAAATAAATTTATGAATATTAAAAAAAAAAAAAAGAGGCTGCAACAATGGGCTCAAACCGAGGAATGATGGGAGCATGGCACAGGACCAGCAGCACTGTGTTCCATTGTACACAGTCGCTATGAGTCAGAACCAACTCAATGGGCCCTAATAACTATCAACAACATGCATCGAAATATATACATATTTTTCCTCATCTGAGCCAGCCAGATTGGACAGAAGTAATGTTTACACAGTGGATAAAAAAAATCCTCCCATACTAGCCTTTAATTGTTGTTGTTGTTAAGTGCCGTCGAGTTGGTTCTGAGCCATAGTGACCCTGTGTAGGGTTTCCGAGAAGCGGCTGGTGAGTTTGAATCGCTAACCTTGCGGTACAAACTGACCTTGCAGTCCAGCGCATTATCCTGCAGTGCCACACAATTAAACACCAAAAAACAACTTTACTGGTTAAAATGTGACTGTTTTTCCATCTCATTTTGATCTTAGCTCGGTAATCTTTATCAGCTTCTTGTATGTCTCCATGGAAGGCACTGTGGCTCGCAGGATAAGCATAAGGTCTGCTAAGCACATGGTCAGTGATACGAGCCCACCAGTCACTCCTCAGGACAAAGATGAGACTTTCTGCTCCTGTAGAGATTGGTAGCCTCAGAAACTCTATATAGGGTTGCTATAAGTTGGAACCAACCCCATGGCACTTAACAACATATGCCTTCATGCATTCATACAAATTCTCCTAAAATCAACAGTATTTACAATGAACAAAGTTGCATATTTAATTACATATTTGCTTCCTGACATCTTAATTATAAGCATCGAAATTTAAAATATTGATAAAACAAGTCATAAATACAGTAATTCATGAAAATTGCAGTAACATTTCTATAATATAGCTTGGCTTAACCATAATAACCTTATTTAAGAAGTGACCATATTTACCAATATTAGTTGGGGAAAAAGGTCTAAAACTGTATCACTTATATAACAAGGAATGGGAAAAAATTAATATTCTACCAATCTAAAAGCTAATCTTATGTTTCACATAGTCACAAAAAAAGAAATCACAGTAGTTATAAGTATTTCATTACACATAAAATAAGCGTTCTTTCTCCTATTAATGTTTGCAATACAACTAAACTAACACAATCCCATTAACTTCAAAAAAGTTGCTGATAGTTCCATTTCAGCAATGGATGATTATATTTAAGTGGATTTTAACTTGTTGTGATGGTACTCTCTGAACAGGTAGGAAAACTCACACCAAATATCACTTAGCTAGAGTCAGCTAGACAAACAGGATGTTTGTCTTCTGTATGGATGAGTAAAGACAGATGCAATACATTAAAGCTATCACTGGATCATCTGCTTAATTTGTTTAATATGACTTTCATGAAACATTCATTCGAGATCAACAGAATTTAACAACATACAATTTGGAGTTGCCTTTCAATGACTGCCTTGTACTCTGAAGCAATTATAATAATGGATTTTCTATTATACTTATTTAAAGTTGAAATATATTTAAGACACCATTACTTTTTTAAATAAATGGCTTTTATACGTTCTGGTGTAGTACAATGGGTTAATGTGCTGGACTGCAAAGACACTTTGAACCGCAAGTTTAGTGGTTCAAGCTCACTAGCTGCTGCTTGGAAACCCTATGCAGAGTTACTATCGGTTAGAACAGAGTTGATGGCACTTGACAACAACATATATTATTAAAATCCTAATATTCCACCCAAGTTGAGAACCTACCATGTAAATTTCAGAAAGTCAGGATATTTGCAAAGATATTTTAAATGGTTTCTAACATCAAGATGCAGAAATTTATTTTGTCTAATTTGCTATGAGAAGAGGACTTGAAACACTTAATGATGAATATCAAAGACCATAGCTTTCACTATGGACCACACTTCAACATAAAGAAAAAAATAATCCTCACACCTGAACCAATAAGTAGTATCATGATAAATGGAAAAAAGATTGAAGTTATCAAGGATTCCATTTTACTTGGATCCACAAACAACACTCATGGAAGCAGCAGTCAAGAAAGCAAAGGA